AAACGCCCAGCATCGACATCCTCATGGCTGGTCAGCAGCAGAGTGGCACGGCTCACACTGCATGACAGTCCAGCTCTAGCTAGCAATGCTACCAGGTGCATGCTGGTCTACGGCGAAACAACGCCACCGGGACATTCATGCCAACCCCAACCCCAAAAAACATGTGCCACAAGCTATAGCTTATGTCGACGCACGTTGGCCACGTGAAGCCACCTAAAAGTGCTGTGAGGGAGCTGTGACACCAAGAATTGCTTGGATGCATTCAACACATAGGGGATCACAGCCGGGAGCGCATAAGCAGCACAGCTCCCATATGTTGAGCTCTCACGTATGCCGGTCATCAGCTGAAATAGATTTGGTACTTTAAAAGAGAGAAGCCAGAGGCCAGCTAGATAGCGGGTGGGTTTCCATCCTCGGTCACTTGCTCGCTAGACCCTCTGCATGAGTCCCTTTGACAGCCAGCTACCCACGCAGCAGCCAGCCACCCCTTGACCCAGGTTTTGGGCGGGGCCCCAGCGTGAAGCGCCCAGGGGGGCCCCGCCCTGTAGGATTGCCCATGTCCGTGTGGCCGTGTGTGTGTGTGTGTGTAACGGACCAAACATAATACCTCGCCCGGCTGAAACGCGTTATTGGTAATATATTGCATTCTCTATTGCAAGGTATCTCGCCTGTAGCCAACAAGCATCGTATGGGCACTGCCTTCATGCTGTACGGCACTGTCTTCCGTGTGTGTTCGGGCTGCAGCACCTGTTGTAGCGCGATAGCTACACAGTAATGATGAGCTTATCAAGAAATATGCGAATCAATTATGATCATGAAATCTTCCGAAAACTGACCTGGCTGTCAAGAATCGTTTGTAAGAATTCATCAAAACTGAACATCATGAATCTGTACGACAGCCTTACCGAAATCCATAAATCTACTGAAATCGTCTTTGCTCACAGAACGGTCGTGGGTTCTTTTAGAATTCATATTCTACTCACGTTCGGAGCGCGGTCTTATACCGTGGTCGGGGCAGTGCCGGCCTGAGACATACTTCACGGGCCAGTAGCACTGCACTACACTACAACATCTTTTGGTGTCTCAGCAGCGCATTGCTATTAATATATTATTCTCTAAGTAGTTGGCTTAATTTAGCGTACCAGCCGCCTCCCTCATTGAAGGGCGGCTGACCATTGACTTCTGAGGCGGATGTTCTCCGGTCCACCGCGCACTCCCAACGAAGCCCTGTTACAAGCCCTACTTGCTGGACTTCGTCTCTCTGTTCAAGGTTGGCGGCTTTGAACGCGACTTCCTGTCGTTCCGCCATGGATCCGTCCACGATAACCGATTCCATGAATGTAGATGAAACCACTGTACCACCACCGATTCTACCGAACCCGCTGGACTCACTGAACCTACCGAATCAACCGACTCAAGCGAACTCACAGCGAGCCACCGAACCGACTAGGGATGCTGGCGGCTCCGCCGGTCCATCCCGTGGTGAACACGAATTGGTGGAGCTGAAACTCCAACTAGTTCAGGCGGAAATTGAACTCGCGACAATTAAGAACTCTGGAGCTGGCCCGTCAACCGCACCAGTTCCGGTGGTGAGTCCTGATACTACGAATCTTGCGCGTACCGAACCCCGATTCACGTTCCGAATTGAACCACCGCAGCCGAGCAAGTCCAGTAGCCTTGAAATGTTCGCCAACGATTTTCAAGAATGGGTTGCTAAGTACGCACCGAACAACACCGATGACGCCTTGTGGCAACTGCGCCACACGGTGCGCGAACACCCACCTGGCGCTCTGGACTGGCTTTCCGAATATCGAACCGAGTCGCACAATGCTAATAAACCGATTGTTTTACCGGAGCTGTTGACCGCGTTCCTGGATTACTTCGAACCGAAGGTACGCGACAAGGAAACTGAATCACTTGAATCTTTACTGAAAGGGGAGATCCGAATGGATGCTTCAAAAGGGATAGCTGAATATGCTGTTCGTTTTCGTGAAGTCGCTCGCCGTGCTAAGTTTACCGTTCAGAAATCGCTTGCGAAATTGTTTTATATGGGATTGATTCCTGAACTTCGTCCGCTTTGCCGAGTTGATCTTCGTGGTGCTGAATTTACCGATCTTGATACAATTGTGCAATTTGCGCTTACTGAAGAACGAAGATTGCAAGCTCGCGGGCAGGGCCAATCTCGCGCGGCTCTTCACTATGCTGCTGCCGCTTCCACGAAAACTAAGCACCGTTTTCACGGCTCCCGACAGGATTCTTCGAAGCTCTCCGGCAAACGAAACACCGAACCGCAACCGTGGCGCGATGTCGTTGTGAAGCGTGTCAGGGCGGACCGACCTCCGGCTACCGAACCCACCGTGGTGGCTGGAACTGCGACCAACGTCATGAACTCCGTTCGTCCGCCAGCGCGCTCCGTTGCGCCTGCTGGACCACCGCCTCCGATCCCTGGACCCCCTGTACTGGCACCTCCACGACCTCCGTCTTCCGATGCAAAGGTGTCGGTTATGCAGGCGGCTCTGAACAGGCCCAACGAGCCATCGCGAACTCCGAATCCTCTCCATTTAGGTACTTTCCTTACGAATTGGGAGAAGTACCAATGGATGCAGCAAGGGAAGTGCTACCGTTGCGGCATTCAGAATGACCACATCAGCTCGCGCTGTCCGAATCCGCTGGTAACACCGGAGATGTTTCGTCGGCCAGAGAACCGATAGGAGTTTGCCCAGTCGTTTTCGTGTGGCACGCGTACTGGGGACATGAATTTGCATGATTTCCGAATTATTGATTATGAGTTGTTGCGACAACTAGAGCGTCGAATTGGTCGAACGTTTTCTTTGGACGCTGCTGTGAACGATGATGGGAGTAATTCCGTTTGTAACACGTTTGCTTCGCCGACTCGCTCCTTTCTCAATTCCGATTGTTCTGGCCACACTATCTGGATGAATCCTCCCACGAAATTGTTATCCGATTTCCTCCGTCATTACCACCGTTGCAAGAGTTATGATCCTAGCATATCCTCTTGTATTCTGATTCCAACTGAACAGAAACGAATACGTCCCTATCTGAAAGACATGACACGACTTATGATTTTACCGTCTGGAACTCAGTTGTACCGTTCATATCGGGTTGGTTGTCCAGATCCTCCGCCTGAAACGAGCACTTATGAAATTTGGTGGGATCCACCTAAAGGAAAACCGATTGAGCCGAAATGTTCTATAACCGAAACCGCCCAATGGCATACTCCAGGCCGGTTCCGGCCCGGTTCCGACCTAACGGGTCCAGTTAACGAGATGGGTAACCGGTCGGTAGGATTACCGGGCGAACCGTTATCCGTTAACCGTCCCCAGTAATCGGTAACCGATGTCGGTAACCTGGCATGAGCAAAAATGCATTTCTGATTGCAACCAGTTTCTTTGTGACAATGCCCATTGTCACAAGGTTCATGCCCACGTGTCACACCCCGACAAGCTTGAGGAGGTTAAGGCAATGTGAATGCCGGGTGACAGGGGTGACAGTCTTGTGCAGGCACATTTGGAGACTAGTTTACACTGAGATTGGGGTGATGTTGGATTAAAATACTTGCAGTTCATGAAATTGAGGAAATGTGTTGCAAAGGCATATCCAAACGTTCCAGAGGGACGTTGTTTCGCCCGTAACAAACTTGTTACGGGCGAAACAAACTGGATTTCCACAATCCCACCACTCAAAGAGCTCCCCACACCATCGCAAAGTCCTTTTTTTATTACAGACACATGTAACAAGTTGTCATAGCTTGAGATTGTCGATATATGACTGCTGGATTGTGACGAGGCCATCTCCTTACATGTCTTGCTGCACCAGCATGAGCAGTGATCCCTTCTGTTCAAAATTTCAGGCAACATCGCAATGAGGCAAAACATTGTGCCGAATCTGCCGTACAAAGAGTGTTCAAAGCTTCACGCTACTAACGGACGAATACATAAGCATTCATTTACCTTAAAAGAATAAAGGAATTCTATAGCTTCATACAAATTCGCCTATCAGCAACTCTCCCTGGTCGTTCAAAAGTTGCTTGAAGATTCTACCATCTCCATACTATGAAGTAGCGCTTCTTGATTTCTTCATTTTATCTGAACCTTAACGTATCCTTCCAACACAATGTCCATGGACAACGGTAATGAGGTCGGCGCCTACGAGTTTGACCGGAACGCCCTGGACAACATCGCCCGTCGGCGACAAGATCGCCCACGCAAGAAATACAGCCAGCATCGTCCAGTGGATGAGTTTGGAGTACATAAGTTTGCCAGGGCAAACAATCTAAGTCAATTTACCGCGTGCCAATTGGAGGATGCCTTGTCC